ATCACTATGGAAGTAGATTGCCCAACCTTCCTTCCAAGGAGTGGCTGGTGGGTTTGAATCGCCAGCCTTCTGATTAGCAATCAAATACCTTAGGCACTATGCCAACAGAGCTCCTCATTAACCATTATAGAGATGCAAATGAAAACACCAATGAGATACCATCTCACTCTACCACTAATGGCAGAGTTCAACAAGACAGAAAATAATAAATTCTGGTAAGGATGTGGAGAGATTGAGATTCTCATACACTGCTGGTGGGACTGTCAAATGATAAAACCATTGTGGAAATCAGTATGCGGATTCCTTAAAAAGTGGGAATTAAATATACCATTTGATCCAGCAATCCCATTACTAGTTATATATCCTAGAGAAGTGAAAGCCAGGACAAGAATAGATATATGTGCACCCATGTTCATCACAGCACTATTCACAATAGCAAAGAGATGGAACAACCTAAGTGTCACCAACAGAAGAATGGATCGCCAAACTATGATACATACACACTATGGAATATTATGCAACACTAAAGAATAATATAGAATCTGCAAAACACTGCATAATGTGATAAACTTGTAGAACATTATGCTGAGTGAAATAAATCAATCACAGGAGGACAAATACTGTATCAGTTCCCTGGTGTAAAAAGTCAAGGAAAGATTTTTATATGAAAGGAAGCTTTCTTTGTTAGTTACCAGAGATAGGACGGGAAGGGAGGGAACACTATTAGATAGGTAGAGACAAGTATTGATGTAGGAGACAGGAAGGGCAATGTACCAAAAGTGAGATATCAACACAGTGCCACTGAGGAAGAGAAAGAGAGAGATACATGGGAGGTACGGACAACAAAGATGAACCCTATTGCATATACAGTACTGCACTGTCAGTGGTGGCAAGCTTTGATCTATGGGTGAATAGATCTATGGGTGAATAGGCTGAAGGATCAGGTATGTCTAGGCAGGGGACAGTGTGCTCATGACCATGTGTAGGGTTAGCAGACAATGTTCTTACATACGTATTTGTATGACCTGTAAGAATGTCCAGAAATGTAGTAGAGTTGACAAGGTGCAAGGTTGTGGTGGCTTTTGGCCACAGCCAGCTACCTGGAAGGAGTGAGTAGTTGGGCCTGCGGTCTTGGTACCATGCTTGCAGGGTACGTTAAGCCCAACTGGCAAAATATACTACACAAAAACATTATTGTACATCCTACTTTAGTGAGTAAAGACTGGGGTCCTAAAAACTTGCAAGTGGTCATCTAGATGCAATAATGGTCTCTCCTCATGTAGAGTAAAGAGGAATGAAGAAAAACAAAGATGCATGGAAATAGTGCAAGGCACTAGTAGACCATGTAATCCTCAGCCTATATGACCATGAGACCAGAAGTAGATGGTGCTTGGCTACCACTGTCAACCAATTGGGTGGGGGGAAGCTGGTGCAAGAAATCTTGGATAGAGTGGAGGAACGATGTGGAACAAAACTCAAAATCATTAAAAAAAAAAAAAAGACCAGATTTGCTTGTCTGATAGAGCCTGGTGAGACCCCTGAGACTATGACCCCTAGCTACCCTTCAGGTCTGGAACTGAACTTATTCCTATGGCTTCCAGGCAAACAATGTATACAGGCATATGGGGTGAACATTTACATCACATAGATACACTCCTTAGAGTAATCAACTGTGGGAGAACAGAAGGGCACTGTTTGCACAAGGAGACAGCTAGGGGCAGGCAGAAGTGCATGAGAGGGAAGGACAGAAGGAAGAGGTAACTGTGGGGAGGAATTGCGAAGAGAACTGTTACATTGTGGGAAAGTACAGTCAAAGTCAAGAGACAAAATATGTATGAACTGTTATATGGAAAATGAATTTGCTCTGTAAACTTTCACCCAAATCATAATAAAAAGAAAACTTAAAAAAAAATACAGATATTTAACAGCTCTGAAGGTCAGAATCTAAAACCAGTTTCACTGGAAAAAAGTTCTGGCTCCCTCTGGAGGCTCTGGGGAGATATTGTTTCCTTGCCTGCTCCAGCTTTTAGAGGCACCTGCTTTCCTTGGCTCATTTTTCTTGCTCCATCTTCAAAGCCACCAACATAGCAATGTCTCTCCTCTCTGACAACTGCTTCTTTCTGCCCTTGCATACTCTCTTTGACCCTTTTGTCTCCCTCTTATAAGGCCCATCATGATAACATGGAGCTATATGATAATCCAGTGTGATAGCCTCATCTCAAGATCCTCAACTTGATGACATCTGCAAACTACATTCAGTATAAACCAAACCCCTTGCCATCAAGTTATTTCTTATAGAGACCCTGTAGGACAGAGTAGAACTGCCCCATAGGGTTTCCAAGGCTCTAACCTTTACACAAACAGATGTAGCATCTTTCTCTCACAGAGTGCCTAGTGGGTTCCAACTGCTGAACTTTCAAGCAAACACTTAACCACTGCACCACCACAGCTCCTTCCCTTTTCTTTATAAGGCAAGATATTCACAAATTCTAGGGTTTAGGACAGGGACATCTTTGAATATCATTATTCACCCTACCTCAGAGGGGTAAAAATAGATGCACCTTTTTCAGAATGTAGAAGTAGCATTAACTCAGGATTGATGAGACAATTAGAAATAAAGATAGAAGTAGTCAAAACAGCCTGGTATTGGTACAATGACAGACACATAGACCAGTGGAACAGAATTAAGAATCCAGAAATAGATCCATCCACATACAGACAATTGATCTTTGACAAAGGGCTGAAACCCATTCAATGGGGAAGGGATAGTCTCTGCAACAAATTGTCCTGGCAAAACTGGGTGTCTATTTGCAGAAAAATGAAACAACATCCATACCTCAGACCATACACGTAAATGAACTCAAGGTGGATCAAAGACTTAAATGTAAAAACCAAAACTATAAATTCATCAAAGATTAAAATAGGGGTAAACTTTTGGGGCCCTAATTTAATGCATAAATAGACTATCAAGTACAACCCAACATACACAAACAGCAGAAGAGAAACCAAATGACTGGGACCTTCAAAAAATTAAGTTCTTATGGGCATCAAAAGGCTTCTGCAAGATTAAAAAGTGAACCTAAAGTTGGGGAAAAGTAGTCACCAATGACATATCCTAGAAGGGACTTATCTCTAAAATTTACAGAAAATTCAATACCTCAACATCAAAGAGATAATTACTATCTTTTGAAGAAGGCAGAGAGAAAATTGTTTCTTCTAGGGATCTTTCTTTCCAAATTCCTTCCCTAGGATGATGTGTCCTTATATTTTGTGGCCCCCATGACTCCTCTGTGTGAACCATAAAATATTTTTCTTTCTAGTATACAGGCAATGCTACTTCAAGTTTCAATGAAGAAAATCTCGTCTGCAACACACTGGACCTTTTCTTTGCTGGAAGAGAAACAACTTCTACTACACTGCGCTGGGCTCTGCTTTTCATGGCTATCTACCCAGAAATCCAAGGTGAGCATGTGGTTGGATGTGCCTGGACTCACTCACTCACAAACTCACTGCCATTGAGTCTGTTCTGATTCATAACGACCCCTCTTTGGGTTTCCGAGGTGGTATCACTATGGAAGTAGATTGCCTAATCTTCCTTCTGAGGAGTGGCTGGTGGGTTTGAACCACCAGCCTTCTGGTTAGCAGTCAGATACCTAGTACAGATGAATCCCTCCTGGAACATACTGCCCAGAGTTGAGGCCTAAAGACAGCATGTTAGAATGAAAAGATAGATGGAACAGTCACAAGATAGACTCAAGAACTGGCATATCCTTTAGTTTTTCTGTCAGGAATTGTGATGGGTCCATAAGGCAAATATAACACAGTCTTTTTCCTCAAGGAGCTGAGAATCTAGTGGGGAAAACAGTAAAGTCAATTGATACTGTTGCATTTCACAAGAGAGTGACATTCTTGTATGAAAGTCTGGCCTTTTAAGAAATGACTTACTATCACCTTCTGGATAATGTCCAGATACCTCAGTCTGATAAATAATATTGTCTGGTGTGCCATTTTCTGCCACCTTCAACCCCATCCACTCTACATGCTGACATCACTAAATTGCAGGTCATTTTTCCATTTCACTGTCCTTATTATGTCTCTGTTCATTCCCATGTGTTGTTCCCTCTACCAAGAATTTACTCCTCAATTTCCCTTTATGGAAAACTATGAGTTCTTCTTGAAGAATCTGATCAGATACTGCCTCCCTCATGCTGTTTTACCACTCTTCAAGGAAATTACTACCATTTTATTTCTTTAGAGAGAAAGGAAGAAAACACTTCTTTCTTTAAGGGCATGTTCTAAGTGTTAAACATCACTTGTAAATATTCACCTGGCCAGAATGTAGTCACATGATCACACAGTTGCAAATGAGTCTGAGAAATGTAGTCTTTAGCTGGGAAACCAGGTATACTTTTTATTATTAAAGAGGAGAACAGATATTGGGGGACAGTTAGCAGTTTATATCATTTTTTGGGTGCTGTGCTTAATCAGTTCATGCAATTTTCAAGATGATTATACATTTATCCCCACTGAGCAGATGAGGAAACTAAGGCTCAGAAAGTTTAATTAAGTTACACTATTAATGTTTTAGAGCAAGAGTCTGATCCACATATGTCTCACACCAGAGCCCACTTTCCACTGTCATATACCTACTTGAGAAATGAGAGCCTATAGAGCCTACATTAATATCAATAGCCACAGCAATGAACTCAAATATACCAATGATCATGAAGACGGCACAGGACTTGGTAATGTTTCCTTCTGTTATACATAAAGTCACCATGAATTAGTGCCAACTCAGTGACAACTAACAACAACAACACTATACTCTTAGTCATTTTGACCTTGGTTATTCCATTCCTTAGCTTTACTAGGCCCAAAGGAGGAAAAAGAGTTGAAAACACTCTTAAAAAGCCCTTTAAAAGATTAGAAACAATTTTACTAATTTTGTAAACCTGCTCACTTATTGAGATATGACAGGTGAGACCTTGGACACCACCTCTACATCTTTGGAAGACAGACAAAATTTTAAAGAATAATAGATGTTCTCTTATTTTCCAGAAAAAGTACAAGCTGAGATTGACAGAGTAATTGGCCAGTCACAGCAGCCCAGCACCACAGACCGAGAGAACATGCCCTACACCAATGCTGTTGTCCATGAAGTGCAGAGAATGGCCAACATTCTTCCCACGAATGTGCCCAGGGTAGTGACATTTGATACCACTGTGGCTGGATACCACCTGCCAAAGGTAATCAGGATCTCTCAATCTCAGGTCTTCAAGCCCATCATTTTGCATAGTAGGAATCTGAACTTGAAAATTGACACATATTTATATCCCAATGAATCATTCAAATCAGGAGAGAGATATGTTATACCTGATACAATAATTTTTTGTTCTCCAAGCGTGAGATTTAGAACATTAATACAAATGGGTTTTAATACGTATGGGGGGGGGGAATGGGGTATTTTATCACCAAATATATTTAGGGAAAGACTTGAGATGCCTCAGAGTTTTTAGTGTACTAATTTTCATTTTCACCTTCCATGCAGGAGACCCAGATTCAATTTCCAAGCACTGAACCTCACTATGCCACTACCTATGTGTCACTGGATGTATAAATGTTGCTATGATGCTGAACAGGTTTCATGGAGCTTTCAGACTAGGAAGATGGAATAGGCAGAAAAACCTGGTGATCTACTTCTAACAATCAGCCAATGAAAACCCTATGGATCACAACAGTATGATCCCATAGTGCATGGTTTCACCATCAGGTCGGGGCAACTTTATGGACAGCAGCTGACAAGAACAAATGTGCATTGGCCAATATTTTTGTGACACAGCAGGCAGCAGTTCTCATCACACTTTGCCTCAGAACCCTTTTTCTTCTCTTGATAGAATGGCTTGTAGGACTAGGCACTTATTGTATATAATCCTGGGGTTGTGGAATGTTAAAATGTGAAGACACATGTGAGTACACCCACATCAACTTATCACTAATGCCAGTGTTGCTATCATAATATTCCCACAGAAATCTTTCACTTATAGTTCCACTAATAGTGCACTTACTAACACCATAAGGAAGACCCAGATGTGTGTCAGAGCCAGAGCAGCAAACAGACCTGGTTTAAATCATGGCTCCAGAACCTTCTCCTCTGTAACCATTGGGAAGTTATATAGCCTCTCAAAGCTTTAATTTCTTCACATGTAAATTGCATATAAAGCCTGTCTGCCAAGATCCATGTAGAGGTAGAAAGAAGTCACTTCTGTGAAACAGTTTAACTATTGCTTATTTCAGAGAGTCTTTCAAAATAACAATTATTCTTTATTAATTCAATAAATAATCATTAAGCACCTAATATGCTCAGATCTGTAGGAACAACCCTGAGCAAGAAAACTATCATGCAAATGATTACACTATATTATTACAAACCAGGAAAACTTGTAGGGTGGTGTAAAATGCAAATTAGCTGGAGTAGGTAGGAGGAGCAAGAGTGGTCAGAGAAGGCTTGCCAAAAGAAGTCATGTTTGGACTAAGAATTGAAGAATGATTAAGGGTATTTTAGGGAGAAAGTAAGGGAAAAAGAGCATTTCTGGCAGGGGAAACAGTATTTTTAAAAATAACCTTTAAATGAGTGAGTATGTGGCATATTTGAGAAATTGAAAGAAGACAATTGTAGTCAGACTGCAGGCAGGAAAAGAAGGGTGACCTAGAGAAGGTCCAATGATGAGGTTTTACATAAGTGTGATGGGAAGACACTGAAGGGTTTCAAGTTCAAGGTAAGAGTATATGGTCAAGAGTGATGTCATTAAATCCTTTTCAGTAATCACTGGACTTTCAGGATGCAGAACAGATTAAAAGGGAAAGAGAGGGTATGGGGCATACTTTTTACCTGCCATACAGTCAGCCCTCAACTCATGGAGACTCCATGCACTACAGGATTGGGCATGTGTGATCCACAGGATTTTCATTGGCTGATTTATGGAAGTAGATCACCAGGCCTTTCTTCATAGTCTGTCTTAGTCTGAAAGCTCTGCTTAAACCTCCTTAGGACTGACAGCTGGTGGCTGTGCTTGAGGTTTATTGGCTGGGAATTGAACCTTGGTCTCCCATGTGGAAGGTGAGAATTCTAGCACTGAACCACCACTGCCCTAGAGATTTAGTTAGAAGGCTATTGTGGGAGTGTACATGAGTTACATAGTAGCCTGGGCTAGGGTGGTGGCAGTGGACACAGAATCAAGGTGACAGAATGAAGAGAAGTTCAGGAAGTGGAATCTGCCATTCTGGCTGATGAATTGGATGAAAGCAGAGTGAGCAGAAGGTGTGCATTAAGGACAACTCCTAGGTTTCTTGCTTGTGTAACTGGATGAGTACAGGTACATTTCCTGGGCTACCTGATAATCTTCTTAAACCTACTGGTGCCTGGTGCCAGGAGTGCCATGTACTAGACACAAGAGGAAAGAAATTAGGAGAAACAGAGATGACTGAGCCATTGTTTACCTTTGAGGAGCTGCCTCAGTTATCTCCTCAGTAAGCAACTGGGCTGATTTTGGTACATTGCTATCTGGCCAGCTGCTCCATTAGTTCTTCCTGCTGCATATATGTCCCCTCCCAAGTCCTACACTGACAAGTCCCTCTAGAGGGAACATGACATTGTCCACAGCCACTCTTTGGTCCACAGTCAATAGTAGGCAAAGTTCCCTGATAAAATTCCCAGCAGGCAACTCCAATCCATCACGGTGAACTGTACCATGGAAAAGACCAGAGTCCTGGGGTGTTGGGTTCAGGAAACCATGGGTTAGGAGTGGTCAGGAAGTAGGAGGCATGACTGTCACCCTTTGTGTATGTGTGTTGTGTAGGTCAAGCCTTACCTGAGTTTTTGCTGCCTTCTCTAGGGGACCATGGTCCTGACCAATCTGACTGCACTGCACAGGGACCCTGCAGAGTGGGCCACCCCCGACACATTCAATCCAGAGCATTTTCTGGAGAATGGAGAGTTTAAGAAAAGGGAATCCTTTCTGCCTTTTTCAATAGGTGAGTTGTAATGAATAGGAGTGTGAAGATCCAGAGTCTGTCTATCAGCTTTGCACTTCCCTCCTCCCAGTAGTCTTTGGCTTTAGTTGGAATGTCTCCACATGGCTCCACCCAATGTGACTCCATCTTGCTAAATGATAAAGTGAAAATTTCCTGGGCTGGGCATTGCTTTAATCTTCCCTTTACCTCCTGAGACTTCCATTGCCTCTGATGGAGATTTCAGCCTCACTTTGTTCTCCACTCTCCTAGAGTACTAGCTACAGAAAGACCAGAACCTGCCCCTTGCTCAAGAGGAAGGTTGGACATCTGCCATCTTCATAGAGTTTTCAAATATCCCCTATGCTTACAGCTCTGGTGGTGAAATGGTTAAGGCAGTTGGGAGTTAACTAGAAGGTTGGTGGTTTGAACCCACCAAGCGTTCTGCGGAAGAAAGGTGTGGCAGTCTACTTCTGATTTACAGCCTTGCAAACCTAATAGGGTTTCACTGTGAGTTGGAATTCACTCAGTGGCAGTAACTTTGGTTTGGTAATGCTGGCTGCAACTTTGACGAGAGAAGTCTTAATAGAGGTTCATGACTTTAAGAGGAAGAAGGAGTGAGTGATGCCTGGATAACTTTCCTTCACATGGCAGAAGTTTTCCTTGCAGTTGCTCATATGTCTCCTGCTAAAGACTTTGTCCATCTCTGTTAGCTGAAGCATAAGAAACCTCTAGACACATTGCCTCGCTGGGACTTTGCTATCCAGAATGGCATCTTACCCTCTTCATTATAGATTTCATTTACAAGGAATTGATCTCATTTAAATCTTCCCAGTAACCCAGTTATTAAGTTAGAAAGAAAGTAGATTGATATCTCCTGTCTTAATATAAGGAAACAGAGAAAAGAGAGTTTTGTTTTATCCAAGATAATGTGCCCAAGAAATGGGCAGAAGAAAACCTAAGACTCAAGTTCTTATACTTGTAATCTAATATTCTCACTGTCACAGCTGGAAAGTAACTCACGTTTCCACTTAAGGATCCCTCCACTTTAAGGTCATTAAGTTTATTCCACATATATTACTAAGCATCTTGCTGTATAACAAACAGCCCAAAATCCAGTGGCTTAAACAATAAACATATATTATTGCTCAAAAGTCTACAGGTCAACTCTGAAGCTCTGCTGTTCTTGGTTGAGCTGTCTTACTTGTTTGGAAGGTCGAAGGCTGATTGAGGAAGGCCTCAGCTAGGACAGCAGGTTCATTGCCACCTTCTCTCTCATCCCCTAATAAGCTAGCCTGGACTTCCTCTCACTGAGGCAGTAGAATCTCAAGACAGAGAATAGACATGCACAAGGCCTCTTAAGGTCTGGATTTGAAACTGGCACAGCATCACTTGCACAGCATTCTGTTGGTCAGTGCAAGTCATAAGTCCAGCCTCAACTAAAGGGAAGGTGCCTTAGTTTCCTAGTGTTGCCTGAACATAAATAGCAGAAAAGAAATTTATTTTCTCACAGTTCTGGAGATTAGAAGTCTAAATTCCTAGCATCGTCTTTAAGGAAGTTTCTCACTCATTTGGGCTCTGAAGGGAAGAATTTTGTCTCACTTTCTTTCTCTGACATTCCTTGGTTCCTTGGTGATCTTCACTTGGCATCTGTGTGCCTCCATTTGTGCCCTTTTGTCTTTGTGTCTGTGCTGCTCCTTATAACTTAGAAGTGAGTAGGTTTAGATCATGCCCTACATGAATAGACCTCATTAACATAACAAAGAAAATTCTGGTGAGAAAAGATTACCTACAAATAGTAGAAAGTCTCATTGTCATTCAGTCAGTTCTGATTTATGGTAATCCCATGTATTTCAAAGTATAACTTTACTCTATAGGGTTTCAATGGCTATAATCTTACAGAAGTAGATCACCAGGCATTTCTTCTGCTGTGCTGCTGGGTGGATTTGAATTGGAACGTTTCAATTATGAGCCAAATGTAAACTGTTTGCACTACCTAGGGACCTTCTACACAGGCACGGGGTTAGGATTCCAAGACACATTTTGTTGTTGTTGTTAGGTGTTGTTGAGTCAGTTCTGACTCATATTTTTGGAGAACAAAATTCAGTCTATAACAGGAGGGGAAAATGACTATAGTATTTGATGAGAAGAGCTATGAAGTCACCCTTGGATAAAGAAGTTGGGAATATAGGATTTTATTTTTTTGCAATTTCTTAGTCTCTCCAACAGACATCTAACTGACAAGAAATTCAGAGACGGTAAGTGATTGTCATGGGAACTCCCAAAAAAGTGTAACAGAGTGAGGACCAGTTAAATGAAACAGAAATAGAAACCTGAAAATCTAGGGGGTTAACAAAATGTCAACATAACTGACTTGTTTTCCAGCATAGTCTTTGCTTTAACAGATTGTTGCTTTTCCTTACTCATGTTCTAGCTCTCTCTAAAGATAGCCTAGCCTCCCTGAAGGCATGAGGTATTGACAACTCCTTCCCCTTTCTTGGAAAAGATGACCAAGTATGGAATTACCGCAAGTGCACTATCAGGGCAGACTGCAGAGCTTTTTTTTGCCCAAAGATTTATTCTTTTTTAAATTGTTATTTGGGTGAAAATTTACAGAGCAAATTTACTTTCTATGCAGTAGTTCACACACACTTTGTCTCATGACATTGATGACAATTCACCACATTGAACAGCTCCCCTCCCACTTCTTCCCAACAGTCACCTCTTCCCTGTGTCTATCCCTCCAGACACTCCCTGCCCTCTAAAGTGTCTCTCTGTGCATAAACAGCCCTTCTTTTCCCATGATTTTTCTCTCCAATGAGTTTATCTACCTTAGGTAAATGTTAAACTCCTATGCCTGTCTTTTGTTTGGCTGGAAGCCACAGGTTGGGTTCAATTCCAGACCTGAAGGGCAGCTAGGGGCCATAGTCGCAGTGGTTCCACCAGGCTCTATCAGACCAGCAAAACTGGTCCCCTCATTTTTTTTTCCCAAATGATTTTGAGTTTTTACACATAGTTCCCTCTTTATCCAGCATCTCCTACATAGATCTCCCTCTGAGTGGTTGACAGTGGTAGCTGGGCACCATCTAGTTCTTCTGGTCTCATAATCATATAGACTGCAGATCGCATGGTGTACCAGTCATTAGGACTAATTCTTTCCATGAATCTTTGGTTTTCTTCATTCTTCTTTGCTCTGGACGAGGAGAGACCCATCATTGCATCTAGATGGCTGCTTGCAAGTTTTAAGATCCCAGTTGCTACTTGCCAAAGTAGGAGGTGCAACAGTGTTCTGTGTAGTATGTTATGCCAATTGAGCTTGATGCCCCCTGTGACTATGGTCCCAAGCCTACATGTTCAACTACTCAATCCCTCTGGGTAGCTGGCTGTGACCAAGAAGTGAGTACAACCTTGTCCCTTGTCAGCTCTACTGTACATCTGAGAATTCAGATCATACAAAGACACTTATGGGACCATTATCTGCCAACCCTATACATAGTCTTGGGTACACTACCCACTTCATAGACATACCTAATAGTTCAGCCTGTCCACCCATTATCCATCCGTATACCCATGTTTGCCTTCACTGACAATGTAGTACTGTATGTGCAAAAAGGTTCATCTTTGTTGTCTCTACCTCCTATGTATCTCTCTATGTCTTCTTCTTCCTCAATGCCACCATGTTGATCACTCACATTTGGTAAATTGCCCTTCTCTTCACCCAAATCAATACTTATCTCTACGTATCTAACAGTGTTCCTTCTCCTCCCCTCCCACTCTTGGTAACCAACAAAGAAAATTTCCTTCCATAGATAAACCTTTCCTTGACTTTTACAATAACAGACTAATACAATATTTGCCCTTCTATGATTGACTTATTTCACTCAGCATAATGTCTTCCAAGTTCATCCACATTATGCAGTGTTTTGCAGATTCTACATTATTCTTTAGGGTTAGATTGCAGAGCTTTTGTCAGAAATTTATATTTTCTTTCTCCATGTAAGTCCTTCCTTTTACTCTGATCCACCAAAACAGCAGGCAGCTACATCAAAGACAAATTGTAGCTTCTCATTTCTCAAGTAAAATAATTAGATCAGAAGATATAAGACTGGAAAGAAGTTTAACAAAAACTTAGGTCAACTCTCTCATTTTACTGATGAGGTAACTGACCTGGATGGTTAGTGAAAAAGCCAGTTAGTTGAAGGACCAGGATGGTCCACATTTCCTTTAATCTAGGCCAAAGAGTTGAAATCAAATAGTCCTAACATTCATGTTTTTAAAAGAAAATTGATACCTCATGTCTCATTCATTGAGAACCTTCCTGAGCTACCATGAAACAATTAGGAGAGAGGTTATTTCACTTACTTGACAAGTGTAGCTCCATGAGAGTGAATGGTTTACTCACATCCACACATAGCTGGTTACTGACAGAACAAATATTTTAACCCTAGTTCCTGATTCTCTAGGTTCAGTTTTGTCACAATATGTGGATTCTTCTAGCAGAATCTTGGGCATTTGCAGTATAATAATTCCACACCATTTTAACAAGTTTGCTAATTGTTCTATATGTGATGGGTAAAGAGATAAAGAACAGATGAATTAGACATGCACTTGGGAGAAACATAAACACAAAAGGATATAATGGCATAACTGAAACACATTTATGTTTATGAATGGTTTTGCATGTATCACCTAATTTATTTCTTCAATAGGTCTTTGTAATAGACAATAATATAGAGACATACAGCAGAATTGTTCAAAGAATATTTAATTACTCAAGAAAATACAGGGTAGCAAAGGCAGTGTATAGAGTTAACTAAACCCAAACCAAGACCTTGCTGATGAGTCAATTCCAACTCATAGCAGTCCTGTAAGAAAATTAGAGCTGTGTCATAGGTTTCCAAGACTGTAATCTTCCACATCTTTCTCCCACAGAGCTACTGGCAGATTCCAGCAGCTGACCTTTCAGTTAGCAGCCAAGGACTTAAGCACTGTGCCACCAGGGCTTCTCATGGAATTTACCACAGAGTATAAAACCAGTTTTTTAAGAATGCATTGCAGACAAAGCACTGTAAGGATTGTGAGGAAATAGGTCAAAATGTTGACAAAAGTTTTGTCTGTATGATAGAATTACAAACATTCTTGACCTTTCATTTTTTTTTTAACACTTTTTTTTTTTTACAATTTTTTTTTTTGACAGTGAATCTGTATTACTTAGAAAATGACTATTAAAAACATAGACAACAGGGGCTGCTGGCTAGGGTATTGTATCACAAATGGAGTGAGGAGAGAATTCACACAAGGAAGTGGGCAGTAGAAGCTTAGAGCAGGTGTCAGAGCCCAAGCAAGATGAGGGGTCTGCACAGGGTAACCATGGCCATGATGGGAGATTAGTTATATAAGTGGAAGAATGACCCAATAAGTAAATATGTTGAGAAAAAATGGGAGGGAGATACCGATATGGAAGGAAAACAAGTAGAATGAATTCTGTTGTCTTGGATTGGAGTCAGGTGTTACTACTTAGATTTTATGTAAATGGAGGATGATAGAAAGATAGATGGATAGGTAGATAGGTAGACAGATAGATAGATAGATAGATAGATAGATAGATAGATAGATAGATGATAGATAGTAGATAGATCAGTTGATAGATATATTTGTGCATGTTTATACACATATTTCTACATGTGCTCACATTATATGCATACATATATATTCCCCATGTGTGTCCATTGAGATGAAATGAGTGCAACAAGACCCTGACATCAGTGAGGACTCTTAAAGCCCAGATCTTAGATTCTTGTTATAATTAGCCACTAAAACGAACTATGACTCCTAGAAAATGACTGATTCCAGAGCTGAGGAAAGGAAAATGTACAATGGGCATAGAACATTTTATTGTGGCAGAAAGTAAGGAAATAACTGGCTTGAATGAGCATCTAATGACCAAAGCTAGAGTGTCTTGAGCATTAAAAAAAAAAAAAAAAAAATTGGACAGTAACAGCTTATAACCCTTTGGATAAAAATAGGAATCTGTGAATCTATACTTATTTAAATGAATGAATGAATGGATAAATAAATAAATGGACAGCATTTCCTAGTATGGCAACTAATAAACATGGAAGGAGTGATGGAATTAGAAAATTGCCATTCTGCAACCATCAGAGTAGCAAGTAATTCAGCCAAAAAACATGAATAGATGCTAAAACTGGTGGATGGAAGTTCAATGAGTAATGTTTTATTTAAACAGTCTCAAAATATGTATTATATGCAAAGGGAAATAATAATTTTACTGGAGAGAACCTGTGATTAAAGTTAATATCACCAATTACAAACAAATCAAAATCATTACTACCTGATAAAATGTGATGATAAAAGCATAACACTACTTTAGTTATCAAAACCAAAAAACCAAACTCACTGCCATCGATGGGTTCTGACTCATAGTGACCCCTACTTGGGTTTCTGAGACAGTATCCCTACAGAAGCAGATTGCCCAATCTTCCTTCTGAGGAGTGGCTAAACCGAAGATAAACCAAACCCACTGCCGTGAAGTCGGAGCTGACTCATAGCGACCCCTCCTTGGGTTTCCAAGGTGGTATGGAAGTAGATTGCCCAACCTACTATGGAAGTAGATTGCCCAACCTTCCTTCCAAGGAGTGGCTGGTGGGTTTGAACTGCCAGCCTTCTGGTTAGCAGTCAAATGCCTAAGGCACTACACCAACAGTCATACAGGTCCCCATCAGGCAGTAGTACATACTACAACTGGGATAGCTGTTTCCCAAGAATCTTAGAGGCTGAAAATGTTGGTAGGCCATATGTGTTTCATGTTTCAGAAAAGAGATAAAAGTAGTCTTTTAAATTGCATTCTTCTGTGTTTTTATAATTAAATATATTTTTGATAAAACTGTGAGAAAAAAACTTATCATACTATATTTGCAGATCAATTTAATGATAAGTTATTTTACAGCTAGAATGTTTATTATCAAAGTGACATTTAAAGTATTTATTTTACTGTATAAATGTAGATATGATCTGGTGAATTTGGATTCAGCATGCAGTCTACACAATATGTAAAATAAAGTTCTCATCACACACACACATTTTCACTAATGCCTAGAGAGATTACTTAATTTGCCATAAATCATGTGGCTAGAGAGTGGGAGTAGTTGAATTGAGTCTCCATCCCTCTACTTCCAGTTCTCTACTCTTCTGACAAGGGGGTGGCCAGGGGAATAACATGTGTGAACTGTGGAGAGGAAGATCAGCCTTGGGCTCAACATTAGAAGCAAAGGTCCTTGTTTGGGAAGAACCTCTGTGTAAGAAGGACCATTGAGAGAGAGAGAAATGCTGTACAATGGAGAGGACCATCCAAGACAGAGAGATTCCCATAATTAAGGAGGAAAACATGAGATAGGAGAGTCTGCATTAATTTTTGAGGATAACTTTGACAAAGTATTGCAAACTGTGGGGCATAAAACAACAAAAAATTATTCTCTCACATTTCTGGAAGCTGGAAGTCCAAAATCAAGATGTAGGCAAGGTTATTTCCTTTTGGAAAGCTCTGAGGGAGAGTCTCTTCCATGCATCTCTCCTAGTTTCTGGTAATTTTCTACAATGCTTAGCAGTTCACTGTCTGTCTCTGTTATTACATGGAGTTTTTCCTTGTCTGTCTCATACAGACACCAGTTATATTGGATTGAGGACTCACCTTACACCAGTAAGATCCTCTCTTAAATAATTACATCCGAAAAGACCCTATTAAAAAAAGTCCGATCCTGAGGTTCTGAGGAGGACATAAATTTTGAGGTGCCACCATTCACCCAGTAGAGCTACCTTGCACATTAGAACCCCAGCTCTAATAATTACTTGTTTATAGTTTTGGGAAATTTATTTTCAAGTACTGAAAAATTTAACACACAGGGTTTTTGTATTGTTTTGGAGTCTGCTTTTGTTATTACAGGAGCTCTGTTGTTACAGTAGTTAGAGCATTCAGCTGCTAACCAAAAGGTCTAAGGTTTGAGCTCACCTGCCATTTCATGACAGAAACATGGGGCAGTCTGCTTCTGTAAAGATATACAGCCTTGGAAACCCAGTGAGGCAGTTCTACTCTGTCTTATAGGGTTTCTATGAGTGGAATCAATTTGATGGCAGTGGCTTAGGTTATGTTTTTCTTCTTATTTTTCAATTTTATGTTTTGTTGTCTCATTTTGTTGTTTGTTAATTTTTGAATGCTTTAAGGTTATACATCCAATTTCTGATGAACACAAACTAGAATAACCAAACCCACTGCCATTGATTGAGTCTTTTGCAATTCATAGTGACCCCCATTGGGTTTCCAAGGCTATAAACATTTATGGAAGTAGATTGCCTCATCTTCCTCCAGAGAAGCAGCTAGTAGGTTTGAAGAACTGAACTTCTAGTTAGCAGCCAAATGCCTTGCCTACTACACCACTAGATCTCCTTAGATCAACCCTGGGCCCCTTATTGTTTGATGCCTGGCATCTTCACTACTCTGTCCCCCTGCCTGACCTTTGAAGGCATTTGGGTCCATGATCTGGATTTAGCATTCTGTGCATTAGCTTACTCAGATCATTGTCAGGATTAAAGAATCTGCTGTAAATACAGCCTTGGGGATGAGCAGGTCTTTCCTCTGCTCAGGATTGGCAGGATGGGGCAGAGAAATTCAATCCCTGCTAGGCACCTTCTCCACCAGGGAAGATAATTCAATCTTATGGTTTTTGCCTTTCAGGAAAGCGTGCTTGTCTCGGAGAACAGTTGGCCAGGGCTGAGCTGTTTATTTTCTTCACTTCCCTTGTACAAAAATTTACCTTCAAGCCCCCAGCCAATGAGAAGCTGAGCCTGAAGGCCAGAATGGGCATCACTGTTTCTCCTTTCAGCCACCGCATCTGTGCTGTTCCTCGGGCATGATGCTGCTGGGGAAGGAGCAGAGGCAAAAAGGCAAGAAGAAGCATGGAATGTGTTCTGCAGAAGTAGTGCCTGCTCTGAATGAGGGAACAGAACACAACAGAAGTGGCTCTTTGCCATCATCACAGTTGT